AACAAGCAAGACCAACAGTCAAACCGCCCCGCCCGGAGACAGGGAGGTAATAACTGGAGTTAGCGTAAAATGACTCACCAAGGCGTCGACGCTGTAAGCGCGAGCAGGACAGCGGAGGCGCGAGAGCGAGAGAGCACTACCGTACGGGGACGGATGCGCGGACTACCTGGACACGACCGCTCGAGAGCGGTGCCACAGGCGGAATGTGAAATCGTCGCGAGTGGCGACGCTTTTATATGGTCGACAAATGTGCGGTTACAGGCGAGACTTCTCTACCCATCTCTTTTCCTCCCCCCCCCCCCCTCTCCGTTTTTACTTCATCGTGAATATCGGGTAGACCAAGCATTCGTATTAAAAACTTTTAAATAATAATAATAATATACAATATTATGATATTTGCATTATAGAGAACCCTCGAGGTCTTAATTTCATATGAAATCACTAATATCTTGCTCAAAATATACTCCTTGTAATAAAAATATCGTTTGTGTCTTAAATTGTAGGTTATAATTATATCTAATAGTTATTAAGCTCTCATAGGCGCGTATTATAGCAGATTTCTAGTTATTAAGTAGACTATTCTAAATTTATTTTACGTAATTTCAAATAAGATCCCTTTATTATTATTATTATTATTTTTTATTTTTTTTCGTATCCTTTTATGTATTAGTTGTATGTAAGTATTTTAAAATTGTACATTTGCATGCGAGGTATATCTATAAAAGAATAAATACTCTTAGCGTAGCGGACGAACGAGCGAAATGTAGGGTGACGTTATTATGAGAAACGGATAGTAATACGATATATTTTGTGGCCCTGAAAAGGGCCTTTGAAATACACCTAAAACACACACCAATCACCGACCTTACTTGGAGCTGGTGTATTTGGTGACTGCCTTGGTGCCCTCTGACACGGCGTGCTTGGCGAGTTCACCGGGCAACAGCAGTCTCACGGAGGTCTGCACTTCCCGTGAAGTAATAGTCGAACGCTTGTTGTAATGAGCCAAGCGCGAGGCCTCTGCGGCTATGCGTTCGAAGATGTCGTTAACGAAAGAGTTCATTATGGACATCGCTTTACTGGATATACCAGTATCGGGATGCACCTGCTTGAGCACCTTGTAGATGTAGATGGCGTAACTCTCCTTCCTCTTGTGCTTCTTCTTCTTCTTATCCGACTTCGAGATGTTTTTCTGTGCCTTACCAGACTTCTTGGCGGCTTTACCACTAGTTTTCGGCGGCATCTTGAAGAATATTTAATGTAAATGTGATCACGGATAATACTAAATTATCACTGAACAACACAAAATTTTTTTTTTCTTATATAACGACTATCACGGTGACTCTACTAGCTAGTGGTCTAACGAGCGTATCGAGTGTAGATCAACCAATCAACGACCAGTTTGCCCGGACAAATGGAAGGGGTAGGGTAGAGAGTAGGGGATACGGGCGGAAGATTAGTTTAGAAAGAACGCAAATTTTATTTTATTAAACATTCCAATATAAGTAATATATAATTATACTAATACCCAATTATTTTAATAAAATAAATCATTATCGAATATTTTATAATAATAAAATAACTACTGATAATGTTTTAATAATGCATGTAAATTTATAATTAACATAATACATTGAGTCCATTTATCGCGGCGAGGCAATCCTCTAATCCATCTAAAGCCAACGGCAACGGTGAAGTTCATAAGAGATTTTTACTACATAATATGTTGAACGGTAAGTATTTATATATGTTTCTCTTAAAAAAAAAAAAAAATATTTTTTTTTTTTTTTTTTTTTTTTACCTTTTAGTCTATTGATTATTATTAATTCATAATAAATATGGCTTTCGTCTTATCGTTACCATTACCAATAGAAAGTAATAGCGTACAAAAAGGAATAAGGTATAGTATAGGAGGAACTGAGGAAAGAGGCTTTAAAGAACGTTCGCATTCTAAGAGACTAAATTTATAAATTATCGATAGTATTTGTGGCCCTCAAAAGGGCCTTTTAATCACGTACCAACCACCACGAACGGTAGATAACAATAGAGCAGTAGAGACACGAGTCGACGGACGGCGAATGCACCATTATTATACTAAAGAGCGTAAAACAGAATATGCAATACGTATATAGTACAATTAGGGCATTACCGATCGATAAAACGTCGACGCATACTCTCGTCTAAAGTTCTCAACCATTTTCTTGGGCCTAGTGGTGTGGTGTAGTAATGCGACGGGAGTAGTGTACACACTCGTTTAGGCCTTCTTCTCGGTCTTCTTGGGAAGAAGGACCGCCTGAATGTTGGGTAGTACACCGCCCTGGGCGATCGTCACACCGGAGAGGAGCTTGTTCAACTCTTCATCGTTGCGGATGGCAAGCTGAAGATGTCTCGGTATGATTCTGGTCTTCTTATTGTCCCGAGCAGCGTTACCGGCCAACTCTAGAACTTCAGCGGCGAGGTACTCCATGACTGCGGCCAGGTACACCGGAGCGCCGGCACCCACACGCTCTGCATAATTTCCCTTTCGCAGCAGCCTGTGAATACGTCCAACGGGGAATTGTAGACCGGCACGATTCGAACGGGACTTTGCCTTTCCCTTCACTTTACCGCCTTTACCACGTCCAGACATTGTCGTTAATACGTAATAATAAAATTCTAGAAATGTAGAAAATTAAACACTCGTCTCTATATAGACGACGTCAACACCGATATAAACTAATTTTTTTAACTATTATTTTCTGTGATGTTAACGCTGTTAACCTATGCGGTTCTTACAGCTTCATGGGACGCAGGGCTCGCGGCCTGAAAGGCCGCGAGCTATTTAAAAGTGGAAAGGCGGTAGCTGGGATAAGGATGAGGATGATGATGGTTTGTGATTTGGTATTGTTACCAATCATCATGTCCCCTCCGTAGAGGTTTATTTTGAGCTATCTAACCGCAGTCCGAGGGGGGGAATGCGAACCCCTGCCTCTGACTGCTTAGCTCGTATCGGTCGATGTTCTGGGCGGTGAGAACCGCCCAGGCACGCGGGTGTACGGTGTGTACGCGGTGTGTGTTGGAACGCGTCGTGCCCGCCTACGGGTGCGACGCGCCCCTTCCGTTGTCCTATTAGTGTTTGTCCCAATTGGTGTGGGTGTAGTGTCAGTGTGTGATGTGCCTGCGACGTTTGGGTCGACGGGATCGAGCGAGCGCGGTTGCTCTATTAATACATTACGCGGTCTACGGAGAAACGGCGCGACGTTCGGTATCGGGACGTAGTTGGCTGCGTTTACCACTAGGGGGTTCGGATGAGCTTCGGCGCTGTCAAAGTAGCGCTGGGACATCTCCTTAAAGTATTCGGAGATACAGGGGAGTTGACAATCGCTGTGTAAATCAGAGTTCCGTTGATACCACCGTGCACCGGTGGCTTTACGGATGAAAAGGTTTTGAACTTTCTGTAGTTCGTTTAGGTGGGACTTATATGTGTGTGCAAAGGCTACACTTGCGTAAGACATGATAGGTCTAACGCAGGATTTGTACAAATGGAGTTTGTGCCTTAGAGACAGCTTACTCTTGCTGTTCACAAGAGGATGGAGACGGCCAATAACTGACTTGGCTTTGTTGCGAACAATACTAATGTGTTTCGCGAAACTCATGTTGGCGTCAAACGTAACGCCCAGATATTTGGCCGAGGATTCCCATGGGATGGGGCGGCCGTATAAGGTAATTACCTTCATACGTTTTCTTGGTCCATTACCGGACTGTTTTGGATTCCGTTGAAAGTATATTGCTACACTTTTTTCGGGATTCACTTCAATTCTCCATTGGCGGAACCATTCGCCTAAGCGATTGGCAGCTTTTTGGAGTTTTAAAGTGAGAATATTCCTATTGTACTCTGATACAAAGAGAGCCGTATCGTCGGCGAAGAGAGCGGTGTTGACCGCTGGATCTTTAGGGATGTCACTCGTGAAAAGTGTAAACAGAATTGGAGACAGGGCGGAGCCTTGTGGGACACCGGCCTTAGGAAAGCGTTTCGAAGAACGGGTTCCCTCCACTCGATAGCGAAAAGAGCGATTTGAAAGGAAGGCTCGGATGATGTGTACGAGCCTGTCCGGCACGTTTAGTTTATACAGCTTGTAGAGCAAGCCGTCGTGCCAGACCTTATCAAATGCCTTTGCGACATCAAAGAAGAGGGCTCCCGTGCCTCGAGATTTTCTCCTTGTCGGATGATGATTGAAGCCAGACAGAATATATTCTGTTAGGCGATGAATTTGGTTAGTACATGAATGTTTGGCTCTAAATCCAAACTGTTCGTCAGGGAGGAGTCTGTTAGTTTCCGTGAAGTGACGGAGGCGCTTGAGGATAGTGTGCTCATATAATTTACCTAAGGTGTTGAGTAGGCTGATAGGCCTGTAACTGGTGGGTCGGTTACGCGGTTTGCCCGGTTTATGGATTCCTATTACGTCTGCTTCTTTCCAGATATCCGGGAAAGAGCAGCTCGAGAGAAGCGCGTTGAAAATTCCTACGAGGAGGTAAATTAACGGTGCCGGAAGAGATTTGATCACCTTGTTACTGATGCCGTCTGGCCCAGGGGCTGATCTAATCTTAAGGCTTTTTATGGTCTTAGTGACTTCTTCGAAAGTCACGGGATCGAGTGGATCGCCCGCTGGCGGTAACGCAGCCCTACGTTTGATTTCCGCTTCTACCTCTAGCAGGTGAGCGGGATCTGTTGGTACGCTGGATGGGGTACACTGGCTCTCTAGACTGTCGGCTAGGCATTCGGCTTTTTCGAGATCGTCTAAGGCGAGATCGGGGTGGTCGAGCCTCATGAGAGGCGGCATGGGAGCAATTTGCTCTGCTTTTATGGCTTTAGTCAGCCTCCAAAAGGCATCTTGGGATGGTTCTAATCCCTCTAAGAGGTTATCCCATTTATCATTTCTAAATTCTACAACGCGTTGTTTAATCTCGTTTTGCAGAGAACGTAGCCGGATTTTGTTATCTTCCGTGCGATAACGGTCATATGCTTATAGCGCGGAGTTTTTCGCTCTAATCAGCCGTCGAACGTCTGCCGGAAGCTTTGTGTGCCGATCGCTCGACACACGAACCTTACGGGAGCACTCTTCGACCGCTGATGTGAGGTGAGTCGATAGGGCGCTAATCGCCCTATTGGCTTCCTCCGGCGAGTCTATCTTGTCCGGTATTGAGTCTAAATGCTGGGAGTTCGTAGACTCAAGTTTGACCTTGAGCTTACGCCAGTCGACGATGGTTTTGGTCTGAGGGACCTCACCAGCCGACCGGCCCAGTTCTAATACGATCGGCCTATGGTCCGAGCATAGTTCGATGAAAGTTTCGATCGAGTTAATGTTAAGCCGGATGTCTTTTAAAATAGCTACGTCAAGGACGTCCGGTTGGTGACTAGTTATAAATGGGTAGTGAGTTGGGCTCTCAGGAGCGATAACGTCGAAGTTAAGTCTCTCCGTGAGGCCGCATAATATGTTTCCGTTTGGATTGTTTAGGTTAGAGTTCCAACTAACGTGCTTACTGTTTAGGTCACCCGCGATTACTACGCTGGGGCCTAGATTTAGTAGTGCCGAGATGTCGGCTTCTAATAAGGGTTTTTGCGGTGACTGATATGCCGAGGCAATTATGACGGGCGGATGGCCCGTAAGTGCTATTCTACATACCGATGCTTCTAAGTTAGCAAGCGGTGGAGTGTCTAACGGTATACAGTGCAAGGACCTTTTGTAGTAGATCAAGGTGCCGCCTTTAGGTCCGGTCAGCCTATCATTTCTTACTAAGGTATAATTAGCTATTTTGGGATCGCGCACGCTAGGTTTCAAGAAGGTCTCCTGCACTAGCATGATGTCTACATCATGATCGCGTAAAAAGTACACGATTTCTTCCTTTTGATCTCTGATGCCGTTTGCGTTAAAGAACGCGACAGTCAGTGAGCTAGGTTTGGTTCTGCCTGTATGTTGTACTGCCATTTTGTTTTAGAGAGATTATTATTTAGGCGCATTGGAATGAACCGATCGCGTCGATGAGATTGATATGCTCAATGGTGGCATTGAGCTTATCTTGAGCGGATTTGGCCTCGCGTAGTTTGCGGGCCAGGGAAGACACTTCGGCAACATTAATATTGTTGAAGAAGCTGCAGACTAACGAGAAGTCAGCAGCGAAGGTAGAAGATGCCTGAGGGGCAAGTTTGGGCTTTTGAGCCTGGAGAGAGGGCGCTGGCCGTGAGGCGGCCGCGCTAACAATCGCCGGGGGCTTAACCCATGCGTTCGACGCGGGTGCTGAAGGCACCGATGAGCTTACACCTTGCCCGGAAGACCCTTTAGCGGGGGCGGGTTTGGTGTGAGGCTGAGGGGGCGCGGGTTGAGACACCGAGATCGGTGCTAATGATGGGGCATGTTGCCTAGGACGGGACCTACTAGCGCTAGCCGCTCGTCCGCGCCGGTTTGCGCCTCCGCGCCACTTTCTACGCGGCGCTTTGGTACACCCGCGATAGTTCGCTGGGTGTCCCGCTTCGCCGCACAGAACGCAGCTCGGAGGGCCTTCCGACTCGGGCGTTCGGGTGCACTCGGGTGTGCCGTGGTCACCTAGACACTTAACGCATCTAGGTTTCGCATAGCAATTTTTGGCCGAGTGGCCATACAGTTGGCATCGGTGGCATTGACCAACGATGCCCCTATTACGGGGGGCCTCTACCGTAATCCCAGTGAGATTACAGATTCGGCGAATATTGTATATTTCTTTCCCTTCCGGGGACAGGTCTAAGATAACTAGACAAAGGTCTAGGTATCTTTTTTTGTCGGTGGGGTGGTGCATTCTGTGCACTTCCCTAACCGGGAGATTCTGCGATTTAAGATCGCTTAAAATGTGCTCGGTTTCGAGCTCCTTAGGGAGCCCGCGAACGACTACGCGGAGGTTGCGTTCTTCCGCAAGGGCGTAAGTATGGAAGCTCAGTTTCTGAACTTTGAGATGCGCAGTTAAAGCGCGGAAGTCATCCGTCGTTGAGACGTGGATGCGTATGCCCTGGCCACCATTGTGGACCTTTGGGCAGAAGATTTTTTTGGAGTCAATCCAATGCGAAAGGTTGCTCCATCGGGATTTATCCTGAAGGATGATCGGGGGCGGCGGTTTTTCCTTGCGCACCGCGGCGGGTTCAGAGTTCGCGATTTTGGCGATTTTAGGGCGCGCTGAAGGCGCGGTCTTTTTAGCCGGAGTGGCGTTAGGTGACGACGACGGGGACGAAGGGGCCGAGTGAGGCTCGGCGCCCTTTTTCGCGGCGGGACGTTTACGTTTTTTGCCCGAGACTACGGTGAAGCCTTCGTCATCGGGCATGGCGGGTTTCGCGACGTCGAACTCCATTTCGGAGCCCGTCTCGGCGTCCGAGAACGCCGGGGACGGCCCCCGAGTGGAGAGCGCAGAAGGCGCGGGGGATCCTACGTCATAAAGCGTTTCTACGGACGTGGGGGTCGCGGGTCCGGTGCTGGGCGACATAGGGTCGTCTACCAACACGGTCGGACGTTCAGCAGCGGGCGTTTGGCGTTGCGCTAGAAAGGTCGCCCAAACGTCGGGGCACGCACGACTGAAAAAGTCGGCGAGTTCGGCTATGGTTATAGCCGCCATCTTGTCTTGTTTTTAAGAAAACACTTGTGTACCAAGCTCCCCCACCTCACGGCGGGGGAGGTGTGTGCTTAAACGAACACCTATATACCTAACGCGTTGGTACGTTAGGGTGTGTACCTAGCTGTCGCCTAATGCGACAAGCGAACACAGAGATTAATACAATAACAATATAATAGCCGCCTCTGAGGCGGCACGGCGGTGTGTAATAAACTACTTACAGTTTTTACTGGAAATTGGCAGAGCGTGGGGCACTACACTAATCCCTAACACAATAGAACAATGGGCCGGCGGGCCGATGCAACCTGACGGCGGCAATGACGCACAACACCACTGAAGCACTTCGAGCACTTAATCCTTTTATTGTCTTTTTTTTTTCGCACAATTGCAACTTAGTAATTCGGGAGCGCATGGGCTCGACCGAAGAATACGTCCGCGCGGCTTGAGCGCAGACAACCGAATCTAATCTCTCTCTCTAATTTTTTTAAACTCGCGACGTTCCTTTATATAGCCAGCATCGATTCGCCACTAGGTGGGGTGGGGATCGCGAACGCAACACGTTTGCGCGGTCGGTCCGGTCAGACTTTTAGTTAGTTGGAAAATCTCAAGTCAGAGTTGGGAGTTGGGAGTTGGGAGTTGGGAGTCGGGCAGTCGGGCGAGGGCGAAACGAATGTACTTGTAAAGAAGAAAAAAAAGAAGAATACTAGGTAGCAGCAATAGGATATAACGCGTTAGAATAGAATAGTATAATATATCGTCGTCGAAGAGGAAGAAAAACGAAAAACTGTAACAAGAAAATTAGGGAGTGTGAAAGTGATAATATTATTTATATACATAATATTATACGTGTTACGTTCGTGTAGGGTCTCGTCGCGTCGCGTCGCGTCACGTCGCGTCGCGTCGCGTCGCGTCGGTCGGTCGGTCGGTCGGTCGGTCGGTCGGTTCGGTTCGATTCGATTCGGTTGTGTTATCTATTTTACCTAGGCACCTATTAAAATTTTTTTAAAAGTGTGAACGTAGTACGTTGAATTCGTTGAGTAGGTGGTGTGTGTATATATATATATATATATATATATATATATATATCATCATTACAGCCCTTCACAAGTCCACTGCTGAACATAGGCCTCCCCCAAAGAATGCCACAAAGCACGGTCCTGAGCCACCTGCATCCATCGACTTCCTGCATGTCTTACCAGGTCGTCACTCCATCTCGTGGGGGGACGCCCTACACTTCGCCTACCGGTACGAGGCTGCCACTCGAGAACCTTTCTTCCCCATCGGTTGTCGGTTCTTCGAGCCATATGGCCGGCCCACTGCCACTTCAGCTTACTAATCCGTTGGGCTATGTCGGTTACTCTGGTTCTACTGCGGATATCCTCATTCCTAAGTTTATCACGCAGAGAAACTCCGAGCATAGCCCTCTCCATAGCTCGCTGAGCGACCTTGAGCTTCCTCATACGGCCAGCAGTGAAGGACCACGTCTCAGTTCCATAAGTCATCACTGGCAACACGCACTGGTTGTACAATTTCGTTTTCAGGTTTTGAGGTATGTCTGACGAGAAGATGTGTCGTAGCTTCCCGAACGCTGCCCAGCCGAGTTGAATCCGTCGATTGACCTCTCGGTCGAAGTTGGACTTACCTAGTCGGACTATTTGTCCCAGGTAAACATACTCGTCAACAACTTCGAGCTTAGTGTTCCCAACAACTACCGGCATAGGTGTGACATGGACATTGAACATGATCTTTGTTTTGTCCATGTTCATCTTAAGACCTATCCGTTGGGAAACACTATCGAGGTCATTGAGCATAGTGCTTAGGTCCTCCAGCGATTCTGCCATAAGGACTATATCGTCGGCAAATCGAAGGTGAGTGATGTACTCGCCATTGATGTTGATACCGTATCCTTTCCAGTCCAGAAGCTTGAAAACGTCTTCCAATGCAGCGGTGAAGAGTTTCGGGGATATGACGTCACCCTGTCTTACACCTCTCTGCAATTGGATAGGTTTCGTACTCTGGTTCTGTACTCGGATAGCCATCGTAGCCCTACTGTACAAGCACTTCAACACTTCGATATACCGACAGTCAACTTGGCACCGCTGAAGGGACTGCAGCACCGCCCAAATTTCGACGGAATCAAAGGCTTTCTCATAGTCCACATACGCCAGACATAGTGGCAAATTGTACTCTTCGGACTTCTGTACAATTTGCCGAAGGGTATGTATGTGGTCTATGGTGCTAAAGCCCTTTCGGAAACCGGCTTGTTCGGGAGGCTGGAAGTCGTCAAGTCTGCACGCGAGACGATTCGTAATGACTCTCGAAAACAGCACGTAGACGCGGCTCAGAAGGGAAATCGGTCTGTAGTTCTTCAAGAGAGCGTTGTCACCTTTCTTGAAGAACAAGACCACCGCACTTCTGCTCCACGCCTCCGGTGTAATGCCACCATGGAGGACGGAATTAAAGAGCTTCTGAAGGACTTCAAGTACCGGTCTTCCACCCGCTTTCAGAAGCTCCGCTGTAATTCCATCCTCGCCTGGGGCCTTACCGTTTTTAAGGTGCTGGAGAGCCATTCTAATCTCGCTCAGACTGACGTCCGGGATATCTTCGGAATAGTGTCGGATGAGACTCGCTCTTGGATCGTTACTCACACTTGCGTGTGGCTCCAACGATGACGTGTACAGCTGCCCATAAAACCTCTCAATCTCACTCAAAATCTCAGGTGTCCCGGAAACGATGCCGCCAAATTCTGTCTTCAGCTTTGACAGGTGGCTCTTTCTGGCAGACAGATCTCTGGCAAAGACTTTGGAGCCTTGGTTCCGCTCGATCGCTTCTTCAATACGAGCTGTATTGAAGTTGCGTAAGTCCCGCCGCATGCATTTGGAGATCTGTCTGTTCAGATGCCTGTATGCTGTCAAGTCTGTTGAAGAATGCAGCTTCATCTCCCGTCTAACAGCCATGAGATTAAGAGTGTGATCGGAGAGTTTTTGTGTTCTTCTGCGGCGGGTCTTGCAGAACTTAGCTCCGACCGCATGGACAGTTTCCACGAGCTTGTCATTCATATCGTCCACTTCATTGCAGTCTTCTAGGCACTGAAAACGGTTTTGTAACTCGAGCTGAAAGGTTTCGGGACTTTGGAACAGAGCACGAGGGGGACGGAGCGTTGACTTCATTAGACGAGACCTCTCCAACTTAACGTTTAGGTTCAGTGTGCCTCTAACCATTCGGTGAT